GACTCTATGGCACATAACAACCACAACAACAGCTTTTCCATGCATATGAGGCTATTGTAAGAGATTACAAAAGTCATTTAAAAGTGCTATGCATTAAAAATTAGCTTAATAGTCTTTCTGGTCTGAAAGAGCCTGGTAGAATCCCCAACCTATGGAATCCTTAGACACCATACAAGCCTGGAATTTATGTCATTCACATGGTTCAACTTTCAATTTAACCATTGACAGGATTACAGGGGAATGAATAAAACAAGGGAGTCATCTACTCATTAGAACAATCAACCACATAAGATCAAAAGGGTAGCATTTAGCAAGGGACAAAACTAAGGAAAGAAGGAAAACTGGGGATAAGAAAGAAGGCCAAAGGCCAAAGGTAAACTTTGGGAGGAGGTGGAAATGGTGTTGCTCTGTTGTAGGCATTACGATGAATGGCACAAAACAAAATTTGCATGGATAGTTGAAAGGAAAACCAGTTTGTTCTGTAAACTTTCACATACTCAAAATTTTGAAAATTATCATATCCACACTGTGATCCAATGAAATAATTTACATGTTTAAAGTAGTAATAAGAGTCAAAGAGCCTATCAATAAAAGCACTTATCAGCTCTTCTCATGGTAGAGTAGGTATTAAGTGTAAATAAAAAATCTTTATTAAAAAAATACAAAAGCGTCACTGGTCTGGGGCTTGATCACCTATTGAGTATTTTTAGGTGTGTTGAAGGCTGGTGTTTCAAACCTACCAGCCACTTCTTGGAAGGAAGACTTGGCAATCTACTTCCATAGAGATACTGCCTAGGAAACCCAAGGAGGGCTCGCTATGAGTTGGATCTGACTCGATGGCAGTGAGTTATTTTATTTATTTATATCCATAGGCATTTTTACTATTCTCACTTTCTAGAAGCAATGATTTTATGACACACAACTTGGCAGGAGTGACTGTATTTGATATCAGGCTTGTTTGCATCTGGAGTTGATGTTCTTGCTCATTTCGCTTCATTGTCTCTCAGTTATTTGACTGAGGGTATACTGAACGCTGTTGAATGAAATACTGATACTCTTTATTTTTTAATAAATGCCTGTTGACAGACCCAGTGTTTTAATTCACATTCTCCTTTTGTTCATCTCTTTAGCAAACACAATTATGTAAACTATCCGACTCGATGGCACATAACAACAACAACAACAACAACAACATTTGACTAATACATTTCTGTTATATGTACAGAGGAAGACACAAGCATCCTTCAAATCTGGGTCTTCCTATGAAAAATGAA